AGCTGGTGTGGATGCCCGAGGCGTTCAGAATAGGGTGTCGTGATGGGGTGGAGCTGCGTCGGCCTCCGCCATGGGAACGATCGGGGGCTCGAAGGGACAAACTACTCACTGCGTGGAGCTCCCCATATGTGCATCTCATGTTTTATGTCATGCCGTGGCGAGCGTCTGTTCATGAGCGGTCAACTACAATAGCGCGTCCACGTGGGCGACAGGGCCGACGAAGACGAGTGACCCCTAATGCGAGTGATTGCGTATGAATCAGAGTGAGCTTTGAGTACGGTTGAATGCGAGCCTCTTCCTCTTCATCCCCCCTCCTCAGCTGCCAGGCCTTCTCCTTTTTCAGCCCGTGGTAGCTTTGGAGCTTCCCACATGTGCATATGGTGTAGGATAGTTGGCAGTGGGATATGTAAGACGAGCGTTTAGCCACACAAGGCCATAAGTGCATGTCATGTTGGAGGATAGTGCCACGGTGAGCATTTCCAACGATCCCCGCACACAACCACCGCCCCCCCTTCGCAGTCACCCCCTATGAATACATATATATATATGTCCTGGACTTCGGAACAAACGTTCTGCTCGCGTCAAGGACCTTCGAGCAAAGCGCCCTCCTCCTCCTCCTCCTCCTCCTCCTCCTCCTGTTCCTCCGCCCCCTCCCTTCTCCTGCTCCTGCTCCTCCTCCTCATCCTCCTGCTCCCCCTCCCCCTCCGCACCCCCATGCCCTTCCTCACGATCCCCCGCCTCCTCCTCCTCCTCCTCCTCCTGTTCCTCCTCCTCATCCTCGTTCCTGTCATTTCCCTTCCTGTTGAGCCCAGAAACAAGCGAACCGCCTGAGACATCCCCACAATATGGCCGCGAACGTGCCCGTGCAACCACCCCTGGCGGCTCCCCATAGGGGTGCTGCAACCAGCGCCCCGCTTGAGACATCGTCACAATCTGCTCTCCAAGCGAAGGATGTTAGGCACAGAAACAAGCAAACCGCCTGAAACTTCCCCACAAAATGGCCGCGAACGAGCCCGTGCAACCACCCCTGGCGGCTCCCCTTAGGGGTGCTGAAATGAGCGCCTCGCTCGAGACATCCTCCAAATCTGCTCCGAAAGCGAAGGATGTTGGGCACAGAAACAGGCAAACCGCCTGAGACATCCCCACAAAATGACCGCGAACGAGCCCGTGCAACCACCCCTGGCGGCTCCCCTTAGGGGTGCTGAAATGAGCGCCTCGCTCGAGACATCCTCCAAATCTGCTCCGAAAGCGAAGGATGTTGAGCCCAGAAACAAGCAAACCGCCTGAGACATCCCCACAAAATGGCCGCGAACGAGCCCGTGCAACCACCCCTGGCGGCTCCCCTTAGGGGTGCTGAAACCAGCGCCCCGCCTGAGACATCCTCACAATCTGCTCTCCAAGCGAAAGATGTTGAGCCCGGAAACAAGCAAACCGCCGGAGACATCCCCACAAAATGGCCGCGAACGAGCCCGTGCAACCACCCCTGGCGGCTCCCCTTAGGGGTGCTGAAACCAGCGCCCCGCCTGAGACATCCTCACAATCTGCTCTCCAAGCGAATGATGTTGGGCCCGGAAACAAGCAAACCGCCTGAGACATCCCACAAAAATGGCCGCGAACGAGCCCGTGCAACCACCCCTGGCGGCTCCCCTTAGGGGTGCTGGAACCAGCGCCCCGCCTGAGACATCCTCACAATCTGCTCTCCAAGCGAAGGATGTTGGACCCAGAAACAAGCAAACCGTCGGAGACATCCCCACAAAATGCCCGCGAACGAGCCCGTGCAACCACCCCTGGCGGCTCCCCTTAGGGGTGCTGAAACCAGCGCCCCGCCTGAGACATCCTCCAAATCTGATGTGTGTTGAGTAAGTCTGAATATGAGTAGGTCTGAGTATGAGTATGCCTGAGTATGAGTAAGTCTGTGTATGAGTAAGTCTGTGTATGAGTAAGTCTGGGTATGAGTAGGTCTGTGTATGAGAAAGTCTGTGTATGTGTACGTCTGGGTATGAGTAAGTCTGAGTATGACTAATACTGTGTATGAGTAAGTCTGGGTATGAGTGAGTCTGTGTATGAGTACGTCTGGGTGTGAGTAAGTCTGTGTATGAGTAAGTCTGTGTATGAGTATGTCTGAGTGTGAGTAAGTCTGAGTATGAGTAGGTCTGAGTATGAGTAAGTCTGAGTATGAGTAAGTCTGAGTATGAGTAGGTCTGAGTATGAGGAAAGAGGAGGAGGGGAGGAGGAAAGAGGAGGAGGGAGAGGGAGTAGGAGGCGTCCAAGTAATAACAAGAACCCCATCTTAGGATATGGGGAAAAACACAGCTCTCCTGCTGGCCTGCTGAGGCACGGTGATGGGTCGCTGGGGGCCTCCTTGGGGCACCCCTGGCACGTTGCGAAGACCCTCCTGAGCCTCGGGGCTGTGTCTGGCCTGTCGCCCCTCCCTTCTTCGTTCCCCCATTACGCGGCGCCCAACTCTCGGAGCTCGTCCCCGCCCCGGCCCCGCCAGGTGGCCGCGCGCCAGCCCACGAGGTGCCGGCCCCTCAGGCGCCGACGGCCGCGGCGGCGCCCGCCGCCACGGCCCCGGGCGCGGGCGGCGCGGGCGGCAGGACCACGGTCCTGGAACGGAGTCGGGCGGGTCCCCCTGCAGGGGGACCTTCGGCGGAATACAAAAAAAAATACCCCAAAAAAGATACGCCAGAAGGGTCCAACAAAATGCTCCAAAAAGTGTCCCCAGACTGTCTTTTGACTATTTTTGAACTTTTCCTCCTGTAGAGGGACAGGAGGAAAAGCCTACCAGACCACCCCAACCCAACCCGAAGACCCGAATGTCTGGTTTGGGGGGGTAAGGGTTCCACAAGTGTTTTCTCGATGTTTCCCGACCCCCCCCCCCACTGGAAATCGAGAGTAAATCTGAGCCTTCGGGTTGGGTTGGGGTGGTTCGGTGGGTGGTGAGGAATGGAGTCGGGCGGGTCCCCCTGCAGGGGGGCCTTCGACGGAAAATACAATTATCCCGGCAAAGCAACCTAACAGCGATGTGTAGAAGCATATCTGAAAGCATTCCCCTTAAGATTCAGATGAAAATCCAGTTGTAGAATTCTGCTGTTCTCGCAGTCGTAGTCGCATTCGCGATGACAGTCGCAGCGGCAACGGCAGTCGCAGTCACAGCCTCAGCCTCAGCCTGCCTCAGCCTCAGCCTCAGCCTGCCTCAGCCTCAGCCTGCCTCAGCCTCAGCCTCAGCCTGCTTCAGCCTCAGCCTCAGTCTGCCTTCAGCCTCGGCCTCAGCCTCAGCCTGCCTCAGCCTCAGCCTGCATCAGCCTCAGCCTCAGCCTCAGCCTGCCTCAGCATCAGCCTGCCTCAGCCTCAGCCTCAGCCTACCTCAGCCTCAGCCTCAGCCTGCTTCAGCCTCAGCCTCAGTCTGCCTTCAGCCTCGGCCTCAGCCTCAGCCTGCCTCAGCCTCAGCCTGCCTCGGCCGCAGCATCAGCCTGCCTCAGCATTCAAAATGTGGCCCAGGAATGGAGTTCTGGGAACTAGAAGAACACGAAGTGGCCTACAGTTGGCTCCGGGCATTCAAAATCATGCACAGGAATGGAGTTCTGGGAACTTGAAGAGCACGAAGTGGCCTACAGTTGGCTCCGGGCATCCAAAATGTGGCCCGGGAATGGAGTTCTGGGAAATCGTAGAGCACGAAGTGGCCTACAGTTGGCTCCGGGCATTCCAAAATGTGGCCCGGAATGGAGTTCTGGGAACTCGAAGACCAGGAAGTGGCCTACAGTTGGCTCCGGGCATCCAAAATGTGGCCCGGGAATGGAGTTCTGGGAGCACCAAGAGCGATTTTGCGAGGATGTCCCAAGCGATTTCGGCTTCGGCGGCAGCCGATCCGGGTCCCGCCCAGACCCCCCTGAGGAGTCATGATGCTCTCTTTTGAGACCACTAGAAACCTATCAGCAAGAGCTGTTAGGTAAAAAATACCCCCAAAAAAGATACTCCAGAAGGGTCCAACAAAATGCTCCAAAAAGTGTCCCCGGACTGTCTTTTGACTATTTTTGAACTTTTCCTCCTATAGAGGGACAGGCCCGACTGAACCCTAGGAGGAGGAACAAAAACGCCATAAACATAAATGTTTGGCGCTCCGCGCCGAAAGTTTACGTTTATGGCGTTGTTTCTCCTTCGATTCGAGGTCCTGATCTCGGGGACCTCGACGAGCCGCTCGACGGTCTGCACCTGGGGCGCGCCGCGCACGAGCTTCTCGACCCTCTGCACCTGGACCCGCGGGACCTCGCGCACCACCTCTTGCACGACCGTCGCCGGCACCTGCCGGATCACCTCCTCCACCCTCTCCTCCACGACCTCGACGAGCTTCTCCTGGTACTGCACCTGCGGGACCTCCACCACCTTCTCGACGATCTGCACCTCAACCTTTGGGACCTCCCTGGTGACCTCGCGCACCTCCGGCTTGAACACCTGCTTGATGACCTCGCGAACCTCGATCTGCGGCACCTCCACGTCCCGCGTGGTGCGCCGGATCTGCGGAACCTCGACGATCTTCTCGACGGTCTGAACATGCGGCACACGGACCTCCTTGATGACCTCCTGAATCTGCGGGACCACCACCTGCTTGATCACCTCCACCTCCTGCACCGTCGGCACCTCCCTGATCACCTCCCGCACCTGGATCTGGGGCACCTCCTGTGGGGAAACCGGCTCCTCCCCGGACCTCTCCCCGAGTACGTTCTGACCACGAACTCGAAGCGAGATTCCAGCGGTGGCGGGCGACGGGGGGATCCCAGCAGGGTGCCCCACAAAGGCGAGAACGCGGAAGGGCAGCGGCAGCGGTACCCTTTCCTCCTCCGACTCCTGCACCCTCTCTACGGTCTGGATCGAGACCACCGGCACCTCCCGGACCACCTCCCGCACTTCCGCCTGGGGCGCGGCCAGCACTGGCTCCACGGGGGCCCCCAGCGGCTCCGCGGGCGCCTGGGCGGCCTCCGCCGGCCGCACGGCCCGCGGGGTCACGTACACGGGCGCCGCCACCGTGGTCGGGCCCATGGTGACCACGGCCGCGGGCGCCGCCTGCACGGGCTCCACGGGCGCCCCCGCCGGCTCCGCGGGCGCCTGGGCTTGCTCGCTCACTCCTGCCCTGCTCCTGCTCCTGCTCCTGCTCCTGCTCCTGCTCCTGCTCCTCCTCCTCCTCCTCTTCCTCCTCCTACTCCTCGTCCTCCTCCTCGTCATCATCATCATCACCACCACCATCATCATCACCATCATCATCATCACCATCATCACATTCATCAACACATTTATCATCATCACCATCAGAATCATCACCATCAGAATCATCACCATCATCATCACCATCCTCTCTCTACATCCTCAATCTTCCATCCTCCATCCTCCATGTTCTTCCTCATCCTCCTCCGTCCTCCATCCTCCATCCTCCATCCTCCATCCTGAATCCTGCATCCTGCATCCTGCATCCTGCATCATGCATCATGCAGCCTCCATGCCCAATGCTCCATGCTCATGCTCCATGCTCCATGCTCCATGCTCCATGCTCCACGCTCCACGCTCCACGCTCCACGCTCCACGCTCCACGTTCCTTCCTCCTTTCTCCTCCTCCTCCTCCTCCTCCTCCTCCTCCTCCTCCATCCCCCGCCTCCTCCTCCCCTCCTCCTCCACTCCTCCTCATCCTCCTCCTCCTCCTCCTCCTCCTTCCTCCTCCTCCTCCTCCTCCTCCTCCTCCTCCTCGATCTCCTCCGCCTCCTCCTCATTTCCTACCGCCTCCATCCTCCCATCCGCCATCCCTCATTCCCATCTCCCAATCCCCATCCGCCATCATCCATCCTCCATTGTCCTCCATCCTCTATCCTCACCCTCAATCCTCCCATCCTCCATCCTCCCATGCTCCATCTCCATCCGCCATCCTCCATACCCCCTCCATCCTCCATCCTCCACCCTCCAACCTCCCACCCTCCACCCTCCACCCTCCATCCTCCATCCTCCATCCTCCATCCTCCATCCTCCATCCTCCATCCTCCATCCCTCCCTCCATCCTCCATCCTCCATCCTCACCCTCCACCCCTCCACCCTTCCCCTCCACCCTTCACCCTCCACCTCCTCCTCCATCCTCCTCCATCCTCCGCCATCCTCCTCCATACCTCCTCCTCCTCCTCGATCCTCCTCCATCCTCCTTCAACGCTCCTTCCTCCCCCTCCTCCATCCTCATCCCTCCTCGTCCATCCTCCTCCATCTCCAGCCTCCATCCTCTCCCTCCTCTCTCCATCCGCCTCCATCATCCTCCATCCTCCTCCATCCTCCTCCATCCTCCTCTTCCTCCTCCATCCTCCTCCATCCTCCTCCATCCTCCTCCATCCTCCTCCATCCTCCTCCATCCTCCTCCTCCTACTCCTCCTCCACCTCCTCCTCCTCCTCCTCCTCCTCCTCCTCTCCTCCTCCTCCTCCTGTCCTCCTTTCCGCCTTTCCTCCTCCTCCTCCTCCTCCTCCTCCTCCTCCTCCTCTCCTCCTCCTCCGCCTCCCCCTCCTCCTCCTCTCCTCCTCTCCTCCTCCTCCTCCTCCTCCTCCTCCTCCTCCGTCTCCTCCTTCTCCTTCTCCTCCTCCACACTTACACAATATGAATACTACTCTCCTCCATCCCCTGCTGGCGTGCGGAATATAGCGTATCAGATAGCGGGCACCCCTCCGCGCACTTTTTTTACACACAGGAGTTCCCGGAGTTGGGTTTTCGCTTGGGTTGTTCCAAAATGATGCTCTCGCTGAGGCGCGGGCTTCATGTTCGGGCTTCCGCTCGTTCCAAATCGTGCTCCTGCTGCAGCGCTGGCCTCATGTCCGTGCTTCCGCTCGTTCCGACTCGTGCTCCCGCTGCAGAGCTGGCCTCATTACCGCGCTTCCGCTCGTTCCGAACCGTGCTCCCGCTGCAGCGCTGGCGTCATTTCCCGCGCCATGCCACGGCATGCAATGCAATGTTAGGTTGCGTTCCGCTGCGCGATGCCATGCCTTCAGCTGCAGCTGTCATATCCAGTGCGGAAGTGCCACGTCATACTGTGCCATACTACGCTTTAATCCCCAACGGCATGCTATGCAATGTTATGTTCGGGGCCGCTGTGCGATGCCATGATTTGCGTTGCAAAGCTGTGTGATGCAATTCGTCACTACGCCACGCCACGCCATGCTGTGACATACTACGCTTTGCGGTGCTCTTCTACGCCATGCCATGCCGTGCTCTACAATGCATCGCGTACCCTTTCGGGATCATTGCCCTGCTCAACATCCGACTGTGCGAGTAGAGAGGGGATCTTTACGCCATGGTAAGGGATGGGAGGAGGGGTAGGATGTCCAGAATGTGACGCGAGCGCACCTAGTTTGCCCCCCTCCCCCTCCCCCTCCTCCTCCTCCTCCTCCTCCTCCTCCACCACCTCCTCCTCCTCCTCCTCCTCCTCCTCCTCCTCCTCCTCCTCCTGTTCCTCCTCCTGTTCCTCCTCTTCTTCCTCATCCGTCTCCGCCTCCTCATCAACCTCCTCATCCTCTTCCTCCTCCTCCGCCTCCTCCGCCTCCTCCGCCTCCTCCTAGTATCATGAGTATTAGTACTATTAGTCTTCGTCGTATGATCATTCTTATTAGTACGAGTATGCTTATTCGCATGAGTAACAGTCTTAGTAATATTATTCTTCGTATAATGATTGGTAGTATTAGTATGAGTCTTACAATTTCTGCTCTGAGTATTAAAAAGAGTATTAACATTCCTCTTGGCTTTCTGTGGATGCTTAGTTTCCTTATTAATATTCGTATTAGCAGTATGATTACTCATATTCTGAGTCTTCTACTTAGTATTAATATTCTTCTGAATATTATTATTCCTCCTCCTCCTCCTCCTCCTCCTCCTCCTCCTCCTCAGCCCTTCTTCCTCCTCTCCTCCTCTCCTCCTCCTCCTCCTCCTCCTCGCCCCCATCCCCTCCTCCTCCGCCTCTTCCTCCTCCTCCTCCTTCTCCTCCTCCTCCTCCTCCTCCTCCTAGAAAAAAAACACCCCTCCTCCCTCCGCCCCCCCTCCTCCTCCTCCTCATCCTTCTCCGTCTCCTCTCCTCCTCCTCTACTCTCCTCCTCCTCCTCCTCCTCCCCCTCCTTCCTTCCTCCTCCTCCGCATCCTCCTCCTCCTCCTCCTCCTCCTCCTCCTCCCCCTCCTCCTTCCTCCTCTCTCCTCCTCCTCCTCTTCCTCCGCCTCTCCACTCTCCTCCTCCTCCTCCTCCTCTTCCTCCTCCTCCCCTCTCTCCTCCTCCTCCTCTCCTCCTCTCTCCTACCTCCTCCTCCTCCTCCTCCTCCTCCTCCTCCTCCTTCCTCCTCCTCCTCCTCCTTCCTCCTCCTCCTCCTCCTCCTTCCCCCCCGGGGGGAGGCCTGCACCTGTTTTCATGGTGTCAGTGCCGAGACACACCCGGAGGTAGAAGCGAGAGGAATCGTGTTGGGAGGAAGGCACACTGTGCACGGCACTTATTTCGCAGGTTGGGCGGGGTGCAACCGGCCGATTTTTCTGGAACCGCGGGGCGCAACCGGGCTTGGGGTGGACGTTGCGAAACCTGTATCGGCGGGACTCCCGTCGTTGGGTGTAGCACGGCCCCAGTCTCAGCCTGGCCCTGCTGGTGAAGGCGGGTAGCGGCGCCTGTGCGGTCATTTCAGTGTGATCTGACCCTCAGGGATCGGCACTTCCTCGGGAGGCGGTGGCTTGTGCCACGTAAGTCCCAAGGGGCATTGTGCCCACCCAGGGCTGGGGAGCTTGCGCTCCTCAGTATGCCGTGCCAGCTGTTCCGACTGGGATGCATTTGGCTCCCAACGCACATGTCCGAACCGCTGGGCCGCGAGTCTTCACAGGCGACGTGGTCACCCCCTGTGCCTTTCCTGCGCAGCTGTTGCTGCTTTCCGGGCGATAGTTCGATGGCTGGGCGTGTGCAATGCACGCGCGGCCTTCGGGAGACCGACCCTGGGCGCCCGACTCCCCCTCCTCCTCCCCCTCCTCCTCCTCCTCCTCCTCCTCCTCCTCCTCCTCCTCCTCCTCCTCCTCCTCCTCCTCCTCCCTGTCCTCCTCCTCCTCCCTGTCCTCCTCCTCCCTCTCCTCCTCCCTCTCCTCCTCCTCCCTCCTCCTCCCTCCCCCCCCCCACTCCCCGCTCCTCCCTACTCCCTCCTCCCTCCTCCCTCCTCTCTCCTCCCTCCATCCCTCCTCCCTCCTCCCTCCTCCTCCTCCCCTCCTCCCCTGGTCCAGTCTGGCCCGGTGGCTCCATGCTCCATGCTCCATGCTCCATGCTCCATGCTCCATGCTCCATGCTCCATGCTCCATGCTCCATGCTCCATGCTCCATGCTCCGTCCTCCGTCCTCCTTCCTCCTTCCTCCATCCTCCATCCTCCATCCTCCATCCTCCTCCTCCTCCTCCTCCTCCTCCTCCTCCTCCTCCTCGTCTTCTTAGTATCGTGCTTAGTGTGCTACTGCGTAATATTCGGCTTAGTCGTAGCCTTAGTATTGTCATTGATGTTATTAGTATTCACCTTAGTATTAGTGTTATTGGCAGCATTGCTATTCTTATGGTTCGTATTATCATTCGTATTACTATTCGTGGTATTATACTTATTCGTCTTATTTGTATTCGTATTACTCGTATGATTCATGATATCATTCATAGTATTCTTCGTGCCATCATCATTATTGTTGTGATTATCATGAGTTTTCGTAGTCGCAGTAGTCTTCTTACTAAGATTCTTAGCATTCGTAATATTAGTATTCGTCTTCTTCTTGTTCTAGTTATTCTTAAGATCAGTATTATTATTGATCTGAATATTAATTCGCCGGCCCAACGGGCGGCCCCTGGGGGGCCCCGAACGAAAAGTACCCCGGCCGATCCCCGGCTGACCCCCGGGCGATCCCCAGGGGGAGGCTATTTTTCGCCACCCCTCACGAGGATCAAGGCCTCCGAGGGGGGGGCTGCCAACGACTACCCCCCTCCCGCCCCAAGGGGCCCCCAAGAGCCCCCCAAGAGGCCCCAGGGGAGCCCAATACGCCGCCAAGAAGCCCCAAGACGCTCCCAAGAAGCCCCCAAGAAGCCCCCAAGACGGCCCCAAGAGGCCCCAAATAGCACTCCAGGGCCGGCGGAATGAGCGAAGCGATTAAATCATACTAATATGATTCCTCTCCGTCTTCGTCTTCTTCTTATTATTAGTATTATTACTATTATTATTATTACTACTACTACTACTACTACTACTACTACTATTATTAATAATATTAGTATTATTATTAATAATACTAAATGTATTATTATTACTACTATTACTATTATTACTATTATTATTATGATTATGATTATGATTATGATTATGATTATGATTATGATTATGATTATGATTATGATTATGATTATGATTATGATTATGAGTATGAGTATGAGTATGATTATGATTATGATTATTATTTTTATTATTATTATTATTGTTATTATTTGTCCTCTTCTTCTTCCTCCTCCTCCTCCTCCTCCTCCTCCTCCTCCATCCATCCTCCTCCATCCTCCTCAACGTCCCCCACCTTCCCTCGCCCCTCCTGTGCCGCGGCGGCCACGGGAGCCCCGACCGGCTCCACGGGAGCTGGGGCCGGCTCGGCCGCCTGCGCGGCGCGCGGCGCCACGTACACTGGCGGCGCCACGGTGGTGATTGTGCGGATCACCTCGGCTGGCGCGTGGTGGGCCTGCACGGGTTCGGCCGCGGCCTGCTGGAGCGCGGCCACCGGCTCCATGACCATCTGCGGGGCCGCGCCGGGCGCCGCGTAGAGCAGGCCCGTGGCCACGGCGCCCCGCTGCACGGCCGCGCGGAACTCCTCGCGCGAGACCTTCCCGTCCCCGTCGGTGTCGATGGCCTCGAAGGCGGCGCCGAGGGAGGAGGCCGCCATCGCTCAGGATGTGGGGCAGAGGCGGGCACGGGCGCTCGGTCCAGGAAGAGAAGTGCGAGCTCGAGCCAAACGGGCGATTGAGGGGAGCGAACAGATGAGGGCGCTGGCTATACGCTTACACCGACCGCCTTAGTTTCCAGCATTGTCCGCGGCACACGCCAAGTACTCCGCGCGCCAAGTCGGGTTGGTACACTCGTTATGCACACCTCTTCAAGAACGCCACAGCTTTTGCTTACGTAGGTCGGACTAACGAAAAAAGAGAGGAGGAGGAGGAGGAGGAGGAGGAGGAAGAGGAGGAGGAGGAGTCCTGGCCAGGCCCATCCTGGGCCCAGGATCGCGGCCTACGCCCTCATGCCTTGGCCAGAAAGACAGACACACCGAACCTGGACGTGGGATGGCGCTGGCCATGCGCCTGCACCGACCCTGGCGGGGCCCATGCTGGTCCCAGGATCGGGGCATGCGCGCCCATGCCTTGGCCAGCAGAGGCATACCCACTGAGCCTGGGCATGGGATGGGCCTGGTCAGGATGGGCGTCGGTGTATATAACGGGGCCCAAGGAAACACAAATGTGTAGACACAAATCCCAGGATTCCCCACGTGTTCCCGCCGTATGCTCTGGGTTTTCGTCTTCCCCCACACTGCCCATGCTTTGCCATATCTTCCTGGGAGTCGGCGATTAATTGTGTCTGTGAGTTTTCCCCTCCTGAGTACAGATGGCACCCTCCGGGAAGAATGGCGAAAGGCCAGCGCTCCCGTTGTGCTGCGGAAGTGCGCCCCAACGGGCGGTCGGCCCCAGCTTGCACTGCGACTCCAGGCCCGGATCTGCGAATCGAGGCGGCGCGGCGCCAGGCCCGAGACCCCGACTCGAGACGACCGACGAACCTCGACCCGCATGCCTCAGGAGACACACATGTATGGAGCCACAAAGGACATACGCGCCCAACTCTGTACATGAACACGGCCCCTTGACCCGCGAGACCGGCCGCATGATACGAACATTCGCGCAATGCGAAATCTCGAAAACAGTGTGGATTCATGTACGTGTACGTCCTTCTTTCGCTCCTGAACATGGGCATCGCTTAGACCGCGTTGGGCCTGCTCCACTGACCGATCTGCCCCCCTTAGATAGGGGATGCATGCTGTCCCCTTCGGCCTCCGCGGGGCCGATCCCCACCTGGGGAGGTGGGATGGTGGGGCTGAGATACCATGGCCTTACTGGGATGGAGAACAGCTAGACGCTACAGTCGGGAGCGGCCAAGAGGGGGGTGTCCAAGAGGGGGGGGTGCAAATCATGGCCGGCGGCATGTGCGCGGCCCAGGGGGGGGGCCCGGGGACGTATTACAACCGGAAGAGGCGCCATGAGAATCTGGGGAGATTTTTTTAAATCCCCCCCACCCCAAAAAAAAAAATTGGGGGGCCCCCCCCCACCCCCCGGGGCCCCCAATGATATCCACCCCCCCCCTAGTCATCACCCCCCTCTTTGCCGCCCCCGATACAGAACGCACAGACTCAGACCTGCGGCAGCCAGCAGACCGGGCCTCCAACAAAACACGTGCGCCGCAAGAGCTGGCCTCTGCACCGCCGGCTGCCCCTCAGACGGCAGCGCTGGACCAGGCCTCAGAAGTTCCGTCGCAAGGCGCTCCCTTCCCCCCAGTCGGCTTCAGGGGCATCCAAGCCTCCGGGAGGAGGAGGAGGAGGAGGAGGAGGAGGAGGAGGAGGAGGAGCAGGGGCAGGGGCAGGGGCAGGGGCAGGGGCACAGGGGCAGGGCACGCGGAACTGCAGGGGCATGGGCATGCAGTGTAACGAAGAGGGGCAGAGGGGAGGAGGAGGAGGAGAGGAGGAGAGGAGGAGGAGTAGGAGGGGAGAAGAGGGGAGGAGGAGGAGGAGAGGAGGATGGAGGAGCGGGAGGAGGAGGAGGGGGCGTCCGAGAGGGGGATTCACAAACCATGGCCCGAGGCATGTGCACGGACAGGCATGTGCAGGGACTCCGCGGCCCAGGCTTGCTGGTCCTTGCTCCTGTTCCGGCTCCCAGCCGCCGAGGTTACAATGCCGTGGTCTGCCTCCTGCCGTGCATGGTCGAAGTCCGCGCGAGGAGGGGGGCCGGCTAAGGCCCCGATGACCTTCACATGGGGGGGGCTCAAAAGTTCTGGGGGGCGGTCTGGGGCACGTAAAAGTACATGATTCTCGCGCCCCCGAAGTCATACTCCCTCGTGATTTACGCCATGCTCGTGCCCCCGAGACCAGAGTCTCTCGCAAATTATACCGGATTCGCGTCCCCGAGGCCATGAGCCCTTCCGAAGTAGAACGTGTTCGGGTTCCCGAGACCAGAAACCTTTAAAGTAAAAATTACCCTGGCGACGTACCCAACCCCTGCGCAAACGCGGGGCGCAAATAGTTTAGGATACTTTATAAGGGGGGCGATGACGGAGCGAGGGTTACATCTGTCTGCAGACGAAATTCGGGAGACTCGCAGGACACTGGCTTCAGGACAAGGACTAGATAAAGCTGATTAGTTGCAATCCCTGAGCAACCCTAGCCACTTCGAAAGCGGGGATCTCAGATCGCAACCCCCCAGGGATGGCGAGGTCCAATTTGGGTCCGCCCGTGGCGTCACTGTGCTGGGCCCCCCAGCGGGCCTCGAAAGTGGCGACAGTTTCACAGTTCGCAGCCCTCCAGGGATGGCGAGGTCTAATTTGAATCCGCGCGTGGCCCTCACTGTGCTGGGCCCCCCAGCAGGCCTCGAAAATGGGCGACAGTTCACAGATCGCAGCCCAACCAGGGATGGCAGAGGTCTAATTTGAATCTGCGTCCCCAGCCCTCACGTGTGCTGGGCCCTCTCACCCCAGCAGGCGCTCGAAAGCCAAGACAGTTTTCACAGATCGCGCCCCCGCCCACACCCAGGATGGCGAGTCTATTGTTGGCAGTCCGCCGTGGTCCACTCACTGTGCTTGGGCACCCAAGCAAGCTCAAAAATGGCGACACTTTTCACAGATCGCAGCCCCCCCAGGGATGGCGAGGTTCTAATTTGAATCCGCGCGTGGCCCTCACTGTGCTTGGCCCCCCAGCAGGGGCCTCGAAAATGGCGACAGTTTCACAGATGCGCAAAGCCCCCCAGGGATGCGAGGTCCCCTCGTTTGAATCTGCGCGTTTCGCCCCTCGACTGTGCTTGGGTTGCTGGGCCCCCCAGCAGGCCTCGAAAATTGCGACAGTTTCGCAGATCGCAGCCCCCCAGGGATGGCGAGGTCTAATTTGAATCCGCGCGTGGCCCTCACTGTGCTGGGCCCCCCAGCAGGCCTCGAAAATGGCGACAGTTTCACAGATCGCAGCCCCCCCCGGGATGGCGAGGTCTCATTTGAATCTGCCCGTGGCGTCACTGTGCTGGGCCCCCCAGCAGGCCTCGAAAATGGCGACAGTTTCACAGATCGCAGCCCCCCCAGGAATGTCGAGGTCTAATTTGAATCTGCCCGTGGCCCTCACTGTGCTGGGCCCCCCAGCAGGCCTCGAAAATGGCGACAGTTTCACAGATCGCAACCCCCCCAGGGATGGCGAGGTCTAATTTGAATCTGCGCGTCGCCCTCACTTTGCTGGGCCCCCCAGCAGGCCTCGAAAATGGCGACAGTTTCACAGATCGCAGCCCCCCGCAGGGGATGGCGAGGTACCTAATGGGTCCGCCGCGCGTCGCCCTCACTGTGCCTGGGCCCCCCAGCAGAGGCCTCGTAAATGGCGAACAGTTTTCACAGATCGCAGCCCCCCAGGATGCGAGGTCTAATTTTTGAATCCGCCGTGCGCCCTCACTGTGGCTGGCCCCCCAGCGGCCTCGAAAATGGGAACAGTTTCACAGATCGCAGCCGCCCCCCCAGGGATTCAATGTCTAATTTGAATCCGCGCGTCCGGCCCTCACTGTGGCTGGGCCCCCCAGTAGGCCTTGAGAGTGGCGACAGTTTCACAGATCGCAGCCCCCTAGGGATGGCGAGGTCTAATTTGAGTCCGCGGTGAGTACCCACTGTGCTGGGCCCCCCAGCAGGCCTCGAAAGTGGCGACAGTTTCACAGATCGCAGCCCCCCAGGGATGGCGAGGTCTACTTTGAATTTGCGGTGAGTGCCCACTGTGCTGGGCCCCCCAGCAGGCCTCGAAAGTGACGACAGTTTCACAGATCGCAGCCACCCCAAAAAGGGAGGGCGATGTCCTAATTTGAATCCGCGCGTCGCCCTCACTGTGCTGGGCCCCCCAGCAGGCCTCGAAAATGGCGACAGTTTCACAGATCGCAGCCCCCCGCAGGCAAGACAGGAAGAGGCAGGGAGGGAGGGAGGAGTGGAGACCACACTGCTCTATTCAAAACGAATGCCCAACCAAGGAGGGTTTGGAAATATTCGTATATCCGAAGAAATACTCTCTTGTAAATTACACGTTCTTCGCGTCACCGAAAATATAAACCCTCGTAAAATATGCTGTGTTCGCGCGTTCGAGGCCACAATCCTTCAGCAAAGGCCCGCAAGACGGTAGAAGAGGCCTTCGAGACGACCCAAGAGTGCCCCAAGGCGTCCAAGATGGTCCCAAGACGGCCTAAGAGGCTCCAAGAGGTCCCCGAGAGCGCTCCAAGAGCACCCCCCTAGAGGGGTCAAAGAGGCCAGCATCTGCGATGGTCCTTCGGATGTTAATCGACTTTGCACGCTGATATCTCCAGTGGCCCCCCTTCGGAGTTCCGACTCTGCTTCACGACGGCGCCCAGGCCTCACAGCATAGCTCTTGCAGACCCCGTTAGGGCTAGCGGCAGGGGGCGAAGCCATTACGGATGAGAGGGCCCGTACGATCTGGGGAGATCTCGTGGCCCCGGCCGTTGCATGAGCCTCCCTGGTCCCCAGTCCTCAGCCCCTCCTTGCCCGCATCCGAGGAGTCCTGAAGGGCACGCTTGCACGCTCGCGCGCGCAAGTCCCAAGTCCGCTCAGAGAGCAGAAAGAAACCAAAAGGCCAGGACGGTACCTAAGGAGACGAGAGAGAGA